GTGCATGACACCATGTTTCAAAGACTTCCACAGGCTGCAGAACTTCTAGAAACATTCCCTGTGACTGTTTGTGTATATACAATATAGAAAAATAGTAATAAACAACATTTTATATCGTTCATTTGTGTAAACAAGTTTTGTAAACAATGTAGTGACAACAGTGTTTGTGCAGTTATTGTGTAGTAAATGAGAAAATACTTACAAAATAGTGCTCATATTGGTCTCACAGGCCATAAGTTATTTGAAAAAATAAAAAAAAAAAGAAAAAAGTAAAAGAAAATACCGGGCGACAGGCAGTCGACGATGGTTCCACATCGGTTATTTCTGCAACTTCATCCTCCCTGTCTTTGGAAGATTGTGGCAAAAATTTTTTTATAGCCCATAATGTTTAGGAAAAAAACTACATTTTTCATAAGAAATTTTGAAATTTCCGCCCTGAGAAAATCTGGGGAAAGGGCCTATTACCCTGAAAGGGTTAAGCTAAAAAATTTTTTTTTTGTGACCCTTAAAGGGCCAAACGATTTATAGTTCATCGCGCGCGCCCCCCAATACTGTATTTTGAAAAAAAAAAAATTATAGAAAAAAAGAAAAATTTTTGACATGTTTTAGAATAAAAAAAATTAGGGTCAGTACATACCCAGATATGAGGCCAAAAAGTTGCACTGGATGCTATGTGACAGCAACATAGTCTTGCTGCTTGCAGAAGTGTTGCCCATACCTTTTTCTATTTTTCATATTATTTTTTGCAATTTTTATGTTCTGAAATTTCTTTGTAGATTTTTTGTCATTTTTATAACCAATCTTTTTTCTGACACTAGTATTAGGTACTGAAATTGTATCTTATTGTCGCAAGCAACTGCGGGGGACATTTTCATGCCTTGGTCATTTATTTGTCTTGGAATATATACAAAGTATTTTATGTCCCAGCAAAGTTTTGGATTGGGGGAAGTTTAATCAAGGAGGAGGAGATGGAGGGGGGAGGGATGGAGGAGGAGGAGGGTGGAGGGGAGGGGAGATGGAGAGGAGGAGGAGATGGGGGGAGGGGGGAGGGAGGGGGGAGGAGATGGAGGAGGAGAGGGATGGGGGGAGGGGAGGGGAAGGGGGAGTAGGGGAGGGGGAGGAGGAGGAGGAGGGGGAAGGGGGAAGAAGGAGAAGGGGAAGAGGGGAGAAAAAGAAGGAGAAAAAAGGGAAGAAGAAGAAGGAAAAAGGAAGAAGAAAAAGGGAGAAAGAAAAAGAAGGAGAAGAAAAAGAAGGAGAAAAGAAAAAGGGAAGAAAAAAGAAAAAAGGGGAAAAGGGAAGAAGGGAAGAGAAGAAGGAAAAGAAGAAAAAGGGAAAAGAAGAAAAAGGGGGAAAAGAAGAAGAAGGGAAAAAGGGAAGAAGAAGGAGAAAAAGAAGAAGGAGAAGAAGAAAAAAGGAAAAGGAAAGAAGGAGAAGAAAAAGAAGGGGAAAAAGGAAGAAGGGAGAAGAAGAGAAGGAGAAGAAGAAGAAAAAGGAAGAAGAAGGAAGGAGAAAAAGAAAAAGGGAGAAGAAGATGGAGAAGAAAAAAAGAAGGGGAAGAAGAAGGAAAAGAAGAAGAAGGAGAAGAAGAAGAAGGGGGAAGGAAGAAAAAAGGAGAAAAGAAGGGGGAAGAAGAAGAAGGAGAAAAAGAAAAAGGGGAAGAAGAAGAAGAAGGAAAAGAAAAAAGAAGGAGAAGAAGAAGAAGGAGAAAAAGAAGAAGGAAAAAGAAGAAAAAAGGAGAAGAAGAAGAAGGGGAAGAAGAAAAAAGGGGAAAAGAAGGGAAAAGGGAAAAAAGGGAAGGAGAAGAAGAAAAAAGGAAAAAAAAGAAGTAGGAAAAAGGGGAAAAAGAAGGAGAAGGAGAAAAAGGAAAAAGGGAAAGAGAAAAAGAAGAAGGAGAAGAAGAAAAAGAAGGAGAAGAAAAAGAAGAAGGAGAAGAAGAAGAAAGGAATTTTTGTTTGTGAAAAAGTTTTGTAAACCCCAAATATTTTGTTTAATTATGTTTGTGTGTTTTTTTGTGTTGTTTACAACAAAGTTTTTATATATATACATTGCCCCTTCCCTTTTGGTTTTCATGGGCCAAATAAGGTTAAATGTGAAAAAAAAAAAATTTGTGAAAAAAACAAAAAACCTTAAAATAAAAAGAAAAAACTAAAGTTTCCCGGGTTTGGAGCGGCCAGTCGCCGCTGTTGCCATACGGGGGCAATTTTCTGAAAAATTAAACGGCCCCCATTTTCTCGGTAAGTACCAAGGGAAAAAAATTTTTTTTTTTTGGGCTAAAACACTCAGAAAAATAATTTTAAAACTTTTTTCATAAGAAAAAAAAATTTTTTTTTTTTTTTTAAAATTTTTGGCGAATTAAAATTTGCAGTTTCAGAGAGGGGGCCTGGAAAAAAGTCAAAAGGGTTAAAAGATGGGTGTTTAAAATTTGACAATTTAAAAAAGTGAATCCCTTTGGTGTTTTTCCCCACTGTTTTTCTAGCTGGCGTCAATTTAACTGGCTCTCCCCCAGGTACAAAATGGTCCCCGGGGTTTTTTTAATTTCCGCACCCCACGAGTGTTAGGGGCCCTTCTGTGCTGAAAAGGCATTCAGGCCAATCGTGCCAAATTTTAAGGGGAAAGGGAAAAAAAAAAAAATTAAAAACATTTTTGGGGGCTACGAAAAAGGCGTTTTATGTTGTTTGGGCTTTTAAGGGGTTTAAAACTTCTGGGTGTCTGAAACAGATTAAATTTGGTTTGCCTTATTTCCCCTTTTGGGGAAAAAAGGTTTCGTTTTTTGGGGCCCCCCTCTCAGGAACGGGTTAATGACGAAAAGGGAGGGTCCACTGTATATCATAACTTATGTGGAGTGATCGTGTTGGGTTTATAAAGCCCACTGAGAGCATAAGTCGTACATAGTGGTAGTGGAGGTGGCAGCAGAGGCCACCACCACTATTCACACAAACAATGTACATAATTTATAAATAAGAAATATTTACATTTTAATTTATAAAAAGAAATATTTACACTTTATAAATAATAAATATTTACACTTGCCTTGGAGATGCTGGCTATGGTTTAGGGTGGTGGAAGATAGGCAGGGCAGCATATATTGCCAGTGGCCCTATATACCTCCAAAAACATTGGAAGAGTTGGTTTTGTGTCGTCCTCTTTCTATCGCTTAATCGCTTAACTTACTTGCTACACTTTATTGCTGGCTGGCGCTATAGCCTTTATAGACTCTGCTAGTTTAGTATCGTACATATCGTAGAATCCCAGAATCACTGAAGAAGGCACATTCTCCCCACTCCCTCCCTCCTTCACTCTCATACTTTTCAACAACTTCTTTCTTAAATTCCATCGTGTTCCTCACTTTCTTTACCAAAGGAACTTTACTTGGAACTCTCTTTTGGCCCATGGTTGCTTATTTTGCAGTTGCACTCAACCGCAAAAAACAATGGATTATAGCGAAATGTTTGGATGAATGAGCAGAAGTTTCCTCACTAGCCCAGAGACAGCCAGACTGACTCAAGAATGCGTGAGTGGAGGGCAGACGCGTCCAATACGGCTGATAAGCGAAATAAGGGCCGATAACTGGAATAAAATTTCAGCCAAAAAAACGGGCAATAACCAAGTTGGCTGATATCCAGAACAGCTAATAACCAAGGGTCCACTGTACTCTTGTTTAACCCTCACTGTGTAGTTGATCAAAAACTCTAGCAAGGAGAGAGCCATGCATGGAGATGCCTGGTACACGTGGTTTTAATAAAGTTGTTTGCTAGGAAGGAAGAGTCCACTAGCCCCTTCTGGGAGGGCTAAATCCCTCAGAGGGCTGTGGAAGGCTGAGAGATGCCCCCTTTACTGGAGAATTTTCTCCATGCGGGACCTCTTGCTGGTTCGGGCAGAGTTAAAAATCTTAGGGTCCTTTATGTGCATTACATTTTTACATAGTGTGAGACGGACATGAGGGATGTCAAAGTGTTTTGTGCCTCTTGTTATGCCTGTGTGTTCTGTTGTAGCTGTCTAGAAGTTTGAGCATAGGGTTTATAATGGAGTTTAATGTTTTGTATATATAGTAAACACAATAATTGTCTGTATTTTGTATATTAAGCAAGTTCAAGCTCTTGAAGAGTGGTGGGGTGTGTTGTCTGGCGCAGGAGTTTGTGATCATCCTCACCACAGCTTTTTGTTGGGTTATTAAAGTTTTAGGGTGATTGGCCATGGTTGATCCCCAAGCACTGTCATTCATTTATTCCTAGTGAATGTAGAAAGTCTCAATAAATTTTATGGAAAATACCTAGCTATTAACCCTTAAACTGTCCAAATGTAGATCTACGTCCACGTGTGGGGGGGCTCCGAACGTAGATAATTTTTTTTTTACATGCTTTCAAATTGGGAAAATCAGCGTCGGAGCACTACGCACGTGAACGTAGATCTACATTTGGACAGTTTAAGGGTTAGACATGTAGAGATTATAGGAGTGTGAAATTAAAATGCAATAATGCTTCATTTTATAGGTTGACTTCATGCTGCCTTCATTATTCAGGTGTACTGAATTTGGATCTTGTGACAAATTAAGGCTATAACTTTTATTTTTTTTTTTTTTTTTTTTTTTTGTTTTTAATTTTTTTTTTACCCCTTTTATTCCGTACTTCTATTATTATAAAGATTTTGTAGTAAATTTAACATTTACGAGTTGTAGAAAGAGACTTTATAGTATATATTTGTATGTTTATACTATAGTTTAGGAAACTGGCATGTGCTAAGAATGGTGATGAACATTTAGTTATAGTATAGTTGAGCATTGTTTATATGGACCCCTGTCAACTTGCAAAGTTCACTTGTTTGTTAAAGAATGGTAGGATAAGCCAAGAAAAATTTCCAGGATATGAATATTCTAAATTTGGACAAAAATTAAAGAAATTTTTTGAAGTTGTCAGGCCACTTTGGTATGTGATTAATTTCTTTCTTTAATTTTTTTTTTCTTTGCACACTTTTATAATTAGACAAATTTTCCTTTCCCTCAGAGTTGCAGGGCATCCGCTAACTCAAAATGAGAAGTGTCTGCACATGTTCCTTAAGGAAATACAAATTGACCAGCACTATACACCAGGCAAAATCACTCAGATTTAGACTTAGCTGCTAGGGACATTTTTAAAGTGGTAACATTATTTTAACATTTCTATATACAGTAAAATATTTTTTTCATTAAAAGTTATATTGACTTTTCAGTTTCTGAATGTATAGACCAAGGATTTAAATTTTCAGTTATACAAATGCAGTACTTTTTTTTTATTCCATAATGGTCTTTGGTGATATTTTTTTTATTTTGATATGATTTATTGTGCATTAGTCCTTTCCTCACTTGTGTAATTTAGGTGACTTGTAATTTTGTTGAAGCTTCAAGGAAACCAAGTACGTAATCCTCAAATATTTTTAAAGCAAGATGTGAAGATTTAAAAGATCTGTTTGATAATCAAAAAAAGTTATGTAGAATGACCTATATAAATATACTTGGAATCATTGCATGGATTAACTTCATTTAAAAATAATTAAATCACAATAAACTCGATGAAACTTGATTACATTCCTGTACACCTACAAACACTTCAGTTTTGTAGCAAATATATACACTGTATAGTTAATCAGTTAAAATTTAAATAGTACATTTGGGATTCTCTTAAAATCCCAGGACATTAACCACAGAAACTCCATTAATCTTGTTCAAAATGCCATTGATATATAAGAGTTGATTTTGATGCCTGTTGCATATTTAGTTGCAGTATGCATGAAAAGCAGCGAGTTGCCAGAATAAGTAAAAAATAAATTTGGTAATAGTTTCTATTAGCCATGAGAGAAAATAAAGCAGCATATTAGTCAAAGAAACATAACTGGTTATAGAATGTTGACATTAAAAATGAAAATAGCACTTGCTTTTCCCTGACTGCTTGTGTTTGCATGTTGCTAGTATAAGTATTTCCTTTTACTGATTTGAGGTTAATATGTATCCAGATTTTCTTTCTTCAGTCTAATGACAACCATTATTTTTTGTTTTGAAATTTAAAAAAAATATTAAATGAGGCATTTATTTTTTAATTGACTACAAGTAAATTTGACACAAGTTGTCTTGAACCATTAATTGGCATGAGCAAGGTTTAAGAACCTTAGATCAGCTGTGCTGCATATATTAACATTTATATTAGCCACTTGTAACCATATTGTGGCAATCAGATGGAGTAGGAACAAATTGGTCAGTAATTTTTGCTTCCAATTTCATGCACTGTCTTGTTAATTTAAAATGATAGACAATGGAACCTTGGTTTTTGTTTTTAATTCGTTCCAGAGAGTCTGATGAAAATATTCAGTGAAAACTAAAGCAATATTTCCCATAAGAAATAATGTAAATCAAATTAATCCATTCCAGACACCCATAAATATTAGCAAAAAATACACATGAAGAAAATAACTGTTTTACATACAGAAAACAATGAGAAATAAATCTTTTTCAACACACTGGCCGTATCCCATTGAGGCAGGGTGGCCCAAAAGGAGAAACGAAAGTTTCTCCTTTTACATTTAGTAATACATACAGGAGAAGGGGTTACTAGCCCCTTGCTCCCGTTTTAGTCGCCTCTTACCACACACATGGCTTACGGAGGAAGAATTCTGTTTCACTTCCCCATGGAGATAAGAGGAAATAAACAAGAACTAGAATGAAAATAGAAAACGCAGAGGGGTGTGTATACATGTGCTTGTACACCTATGTGTAGTGTAGTAGAAGTAGCAAGACATGCCTGTAATCTTGCATATTTATGAGACTGACAAAAGACACCAGCAATCCTACCATCATGTAAAACAATTAAAGGCTTTAGTTTTACACTCATTTGGCAGGACGGTAGTACCTCCCTGGGCGGTTGCTGTCTACCAACCTGCTACCTAGAATGAGAAATATAAAGCACTAATTATAATGGATAAAGGAACATGTAAATCAGTTTTACCTTAATTGAAGGCTCTTGTTGGTATATGGAAGATAGTGAGGGGAGAGGGAGGAGTGTGTGTTTGGAAGGGGGATCCCCTTCCATGAGGACTTCAGGTATCAAGTCCCTTCCTGGGGTTACTTCTCTTCTTTGTCTTTTACTAGCACTAGGACCAGCTTGAGTCAATGTACCCCTGTCACACAAAAAGTATGTTCAGAGAGGTCTGTTTCTGGCGTCTCTAAGATTTACCTAAAATGGGACACGGCATTGTCATTGAACATGTTGCAGACACTGCTTGCAACAGCTTTGTTAGGGTGATAGTTCTCAACGAAACTTTGCACCTCGCTCCACTTGCCATAAATGTCCTTAACCCTTTGAGGGTTTTCGTCGTACTAGTACGTCTTACGCGTAGGGGTTTTTGACGTACTAGTACTCATAAATTCTAGCGACCTCAAATCTAGTGGGAGAAAGCTGGTAGGCCTTCATATGAAAGAATGGGTCTATGTGGTCAGTGTGCACAGTCTAAAAAAAATCCTGCAGCACACGGTGCATAATGAGAAAAAAAAAACTTTTTCCATTTTTTTTTAATAAATCAGCGACTTTGCAGTGTATTTTCGTATAGTATTTATTGTTGTATTCTAGTTTTCTTGGTCTCATTTTATAGAATGGAAGACATATTACTGAAAATTGAGATGATTTTGACTGGTTTTACAATGAAAGGTGCCTTGAAATTGAGCTCAAAGTAGCAGAAATGTTCGATTTTTACCAAACTTCAAAAGTAAACAAATCGTGCCAAGCGTGCAATACACGTCAACTGGTGAGTCTAATATTCTTTCACAAGTGCAACCAATAATATTTATACCATTTTTTACACTAATGCAGTAGTCTGGCATAACAGTAAATCTTATATTTTTTTGTGAGAATAAAAATTCAAAGTGGAAAGCAAAAGAATATAAGAGGGGCCTTGAGACGTGACTAATGACTAAGGAAATGTCATTTTAGTGCCAGGAATGTCTTTCTTGTTTATTCTGGGACCCTATTCCGAAATTGGCATCTTTTGAAATTTGTGTGAAATTGGCAAAATTGCTAAATTCTGACCACTGTACTGGATAGTTGAATTTATAAATGGGTGGTTTCTTGCACCCATTCGATAGAAAAAATGGAGTTCTAGCGAAATATTCATGTTTTTTGTCGACTAGTACAGTGAAATTGGCCGAAAATGGGGCTCAAAGTGGGCAAAATCGCCGATACGTAAACATCGCCGAGACCGCTAACTTTGTGAGAGCATAATTCCGTAAGTTTTCTATCAAATTTCAAACTTTTGGTGTCGTTATGATCGGGAAAAGATTCTCTATCTTTTCATAAGAGAAAATAATTTTTTTTTTTTTTTAAATTTGGCCGACCCTGAGAACGAGTTTCGGAGAGGGCCTGTCGACCCTCAAAGGGTTAATCACTTTTTAATCGTACTTTTCCACAAGTTCTTTCTTGAATTCTATCGTGTTTCTCGCCTTTATCAAAGGGCTGGCACTCGGAACTTTCTTTGGCCCCATGGTGGCTTATTTAGCAGTTGCATTAATAAAAAAAGCACAAAAGCAATCGGTTTTTATAGTGTTTTTTGAATCTCGGGTAATTTTCACTAAACAAGAAAAAAAACCAACTGGTTCAAAAAGTTGTGGGATCTTTGTGGGGTGCGGGCGCGGGGAACACTTGGTCGGCAATAAAAAACCAAGGTGCGAAAAAAATGACAATTTTTTGACAAAGAATGTCACAAAAACCAATTCGACAAAAACCAGGAAAATAAAAACCCAAAGGGTTTTCCACTTAAAATTTTTGGTACTGTTAAACATTTTTAAAAAATCTATATTAGAAATTTTTTTTTTTCATCAATTTTTTTTGGTTAAATATCCGAACATATGAAGCTTTCATTTGTAGAAGATAGGACGAAAATCAAAGTTGTTTGGTGGGGAATGAGAACTAACTATCAGTCGTGCATTAGGCAGTGAAATCAGGGTCAGCGAGCCCAACAACTGTCAGAAAAAAAATTGGGAAAAGTTTTATTTTCCCTTGGCAGTAGGGGGTTTTAACAGCATTTCCCTAGGGGGTCAACCCTCCTGAGTGTAAAAAGGAACCTGAATTGTTTTACATGATGGTAAGTTGCTGGGTCTTTTTTTTGTTCATAAATATGCAAGGTTTTAGGTACATCTTGTATTGTTTATTACACTTAGGCACACTGCACATGCAAGACAAGTGTGTGTACACTCCCTATTTGTGGTTTCGGGGTCGATTCATACTCCTGGCCTTTTGTTGTGTGTGTGTTTTGTGTGTGTGTAGGTGCACAGCGCAGCAGCAGCTGGAACTGATGAGATTATGACAGAAATGTTAAAAGCAGGGGGGGGGGGGGACATAGTGTTGGAGTGGTTGGTATTTTTGTTTAATGTATGAAAGAGGGGAAGGTACCTAGGGATTGGCGGAGAGCATGTATAGTCCCTTTATATAAAGGGAAGGGGGACAAAAGAGATTGTAAAAATTATAGAGGAATAAGTTTACTGAGTATACCAGGAAAAGTGTACAGTAGGGTTATTATTGAAAGAATTAGAGGTAAGACAAAATGTAGGATTGTGGATGAGCAAGAAGGTTTGAGCGGGTAGGGGATGTGTAGATTAAGTGTTTACATTGAAGCATATATGTGAGCAGTATTTAGATAAAGGTAGGGAAGTTTTTTTTGCTTTTATGGATTTAGAAAAGGCATATGATAGTGGATAGGGAAGCAATGTGGCAGATGTTGCAAGTATATGGAGTAGGTGGTAAGTTACTAAATGCTGTAAAGAGTTTTTATGAGGATAGTGAGGCTCAGGTTAGGGTGTGTAGAAGAGAGGGAGACTACTTCCCGGTAAAAGTAGGTCTTAGACAGGGATGTGTAATGTCACCATGGTTGTTTAATATATTTTTTGATGGGGTTGTAAGAGAAGCAAATGCTAGGGTGTTCGGGAGGGGGGGTGGGATTAAATTATGGGGAATTTAAATACAAAATGGGAAGTGAGTTACTTTTTGCTGATGATACTGTGCTTTGGAGATTCTAAAGAAAAAATTGCAAAAGTTAGTGGACGAATTTGGTGTGTGTGTGTAAAGGTAGAAAGTTGAAAGTGTACATAGAAAAGAGTAAGGTGATGAGAGTATCAAATGAT